CCGCCAACCCACGCCTCTCTCGCGCAGGGCGGGCCACCCGCTGTCAGCCTAGGCTCCAACAACAACGCTCTTTGCATGTCACTGCAGGCACAGCAGGGCACCAGCGTGGTGGAGCAGGCGGAGCAGAAGCAGGAGCTGCAGCTGGTGGGTCCCGAGCCGCAGCGGTTTGTGGTGGCCAAGGGGCAGCTCAAGGAGATTGCCAGCGCGGCCTTCCCCGCCCTCATGCGCCTGGGCAGCGGTGCCTTCACCAGCGGCTACAGCGGTGAGCCGTGCGGCCGCTGCTCTTACATCGCCCCTGCCTCCATCACATGCGGCCACCCCTCGGCATCCTCCTCCCCTGCCGTCGCTCACGCCGCCATCGCCGCATGTGTGCAGTGAGCCTAGTGCCCGATGATGGAAAGTACGCTGTGGCGGAGATCTTTGGGAGCAAGCTGCGCGAGACGTCGGCGGTCAGCGGCTTCAACCGCCCGCAGCAGCCGCTGGTGCTGTACGAGTTTGAGGGTGAGGGAGGCGAGGAGGTGCCTGCTTTGGCGGCGCCAGCTGCGGTGGCGTCAAGCCTGATCTGTGCAGCCCCTGCTCTTGCCCACCCGGCTGCTGCTCACCCCCTCCCTCTGCCCCTACCCCTGGCGCTCCCTCCAGGCTGCCCCTTCTGCCGCAAGGTGCGGGAGGCGGTCGCACTCCTGGACCTGGATGTACTCTTCCTGCCAACGCCCAAGGACGGCCCCACCTGGCGCCCCGAGGCGATCGAGAAGGGCGGCAAGCGCCAGGTGCGCTGCGGGCCCCCGGCCCGGCGGCCGCGCGCGCGGCGAACGCACGCTCGTGTGCCCTGGGCGCCGCAGCGCGTGGGGCTGCCGCGGCCCGCCCTGGCCTGACGCGTGCGCGGGTGCGCCTGCGCCTCCCCGCCTACCCACGCAGTTCCCTTACCTGATCGACCCCAACACCAGCACTCAGATGTACGAGAGCGACGCAATCATCGACTACCTGTTCAAGACCTATGGCGGCGCCCAGGCAAGCCTCTCTGGAGGGCGTGCAGCCTGGTGCAGTCGTGTGCAGGCAGGGCGCAACCTCGCCCGCGCCGTCGTGTTGACCCGGCCGCCGCCGCGCCTGCCTGCCTGCAGCTGCCGCCGATCGGCCTGCGCCTGGGCCTACTCACGGCCATATCCTGCGGCCTGGCCATGCTGCCGCGGGCGCTCAAGGGCAGCGCGTACAAGGCCAGCAAGCTGCCCGAGAAGCCGCTGGTGTACTGGTGAGGCGGGCGCCCAGAGCCGCGCAGCCTGTGGCCGCCAAGCGGGCCGTGCTCGCGCCATGTGCTGCCGCCCAGCACCTCCCCACCAGGCGCCGACCGGCGCGTTTGCTGGCTGCGTGGCTGCAGGGGGTACGAGGCGTCGCCGTTTTGCAAAGTGGTGCGCGAGCAGCTGTGCGAGCTGGAGGTACCGCACCTGTACCGCAGCTGCGCGCGCGGCAGCCCCAAGCGCCAGGAGCTGTTTGAGAAGTGGGGCAGGTTCCAGGTGCGTGCGGGGGCGGGCAGGACGGTATGGTGTTGCTTGGCGCTGGGTGGTTCTGCATGTGTGTGTGTATGTGTGTGTGGTGGTGGTGCATATGGCTGGACATCGCACTCCAGCTGCAGTTGGTGCAATGGCTGGCAGAACTGTTGGTGCCACCTTCTCTGCTTTGCCTGAACCCTGCCTGAACCCCGCCTGCCATCTGCCTGCGCTCGCAGGTCCCGTACCTGGAGGATCCCAACACCAGTGAGCCTGCTTGCCAGGTTCCTCTTGCGTTGCTGCCACGCCACAGCTGCTGACAGCTTGCCCCGCCAGAAGAACATGAGCACACTGCTGCACCAGCGTACACCAGCGTTTGCAGCGTGAACTCAGCGACCGACTGATCTGTATGCGCTGCAGGTGTGGCCATGTTTGAGTCCACCGAAATCATCAAGTACCTCAAGGAGACCTACAGCGCTTGAGCATCAGGGCCCGACCAGCTCTTTGACATGGATATCTCCCCCGCTGAAGCCAGTGTGCTAGTTGTTTCTCTCGTTCAGTGTATCATTCTGCCCACTTGTCCACCTACCGTCCCTGTGTGTACCTACCGTCCATGTGATGCCATTGGATTCAGCCCATTTCACGCTTTCATGTTGTCTGAACCAGAACCCATCAAACCCTCTTGTCTGCACTCTGCCGCAACTTGAGTATACCCAGATGTAGGTACAGGGATGCGCTGCTGCCGGGCGCTGCTGCCGAGCGCTGCCGCCGGGCGTGGGCAGGGTTGCCGCGGCGCCTGAGTCCTCGCGTCAAGCTACTAGCCTAGTAGGCACAGTCCTGGGTCCTGGGACGAGACGCAACCACGAGTAAAGGAGCAATATCTGCATGGATTTGTCCGGTAGTCGATTATGTTGTTCCGGATCTCCGAGGTAGCTACCTACAGGCCGGAGCTGCGGTCATGCCTACAGGCGTCCCCCTGTCCTTCCAGTGTCATACATCGCCTTGGAGTGCAGCCGGGCCACCATCAACTCCCCGAACACTCCTTGCGGGCGTGTTCAGAGCCAAGCAGCAGCAATGAGGCGGCCAATCAGGTCCTTTCCCGTGTTCGAGGAGGCTCGGGACCCTCCAGGATGAGCATGCATGGCGCAGCACCAGGAGATACTGGGGGGAGAGAACGTTCCGACACTCCGCACCGACACTCCACATGTTGCCCGCTGATGTGGCACCTCCCCCGATTCGTCTGGCTCATCAGGCACGCTCTCTCCCGCGATCCCTCCCTTTCCTTCGCCTTTCAGAGTCTCTAAGGCTTCTATTTCTCCCCTCCCGCACCCCGCAGCTGCCGCAAATTTAAAATTATGAACCAACCTGTCATCCTTTATGCCTTAGAACGGCGCCAAAACGGCGCCAAGAATGTGTTTCTCACTAAGTCAGATGTAGAGGGCATCATCCGGATCAAGCAGGGCGACCAGCAGGCGCCCTCAGGCCGGCGGCGGCGGGGTGCGGGAGGGGGGGCGGCAGTGCAGGGCGGCGCCAAGAACTACAGCAAGAAGGTGCTGCAGTTCTTCCAGGTGCTGAAGGGCGCTGGCGGTCAGGACATCCTGTGCCGCTGCGTCAAGCGCAGCGGAGAGTGGCGGTGGTGCCCCGTGGTGCCGCTCGAGGAGCTGCCCCGAGTGATCAAGGAGCACCACGAGCGGGCGACTGGCTTCAGCGGTGTGGAGAAGCTGTACACACATGTGAGTGATACAAGGGGTGCAATGATGCCGCCAGACCAACTGGAGAGTGCTCTGCATCAGGCAGCAACCGGATGCATCGCAGCAAGCACGGGGGGTGCGGCACGGCCAAGGTGGCGCTGCCCTCCTCTCCCATCTATCCCTCCTTCCCTCCCTCACGCCGCGCACTCCCCTGGTCCTCCTTTGCTGCTCTGCTGCCTTTCCTGCAGCTGGCCTACAACGCACCCACCGAGCTGGCAGCTGGTGCTGACGGCAAGGTGCCCTTCCTCTACGGCCTGGAGGGGTTTGACCGTGCCGTGATCAGCATCTTCATCTTGGGCTGCCCCGTGCGTGCCGACCAAGCACCACTGAAGCCTGCCGAGCAGCCTGCCCCGCACCCCATCGTGGTGGACCGTGCGTTCCAGCAGTGCCAGGTGCGCATGCTGGTGACAGCAATTGTGTGGCTCAGCTGGAGCAGCCATTTTGCTTTTACTTAGGGCTGCTGCTCACGGACCCACAGCAAACCTGCCCGCCATGCCGAGTTCCATGCGAGATTCCCCCCGTTACCATGCCGCCCCTCTCCCCCCCACATCCCTGTGAGAAGGTGGACCTGATCGACCTGGGCGAGGGCCGCGACCCCAAGTACCGCTACATCATGAGCTATGTGGACCTCTTTACCCGCCACGTGTGGCTCCGTGCGCTGGCCTCCAAAAGGCCGCATGGGGTTGCCCGCCAGGTGAGCGCCTGGCAATCTGCTGCTGGATTGTTGCAGTATCAGAAAAGCGTGGGAGGCAAGGGCAGGAAATGAGGGTAGCTAATCGCTGCCCTGCCCGTGGTGCATTGCAGCAGTGCCACTTTGCCTTCCTTGCTGCTACGTGCTGCCATGCTGGCTGTGACCATCGGAATCCTCACTGTTTGTCCTGTCCATTCACCTGCAGCTCTTTAAAATCTGGATGGACACCCAGGCGCCAGCCAGGCTGCAGTCTGACAATGGCAAGGAGTTTGTCGCCGGCATCATCCTGGAGCTGTGCCAAGCGTTTGGCGTGACCGCCATCAATGGGGCCATCGGCAAGCCGCAAAGCCAGGGCTGCGTGGAGCGCAGCAACCGTACCGTCAAGGACAAGATCTCTGCTCAGCTGCAGATGGCTCCCACCATTGCCTGGCGCTACCAGGTACAGCTTGCCTGCATGCCAGGCGCAGCCAGCCCCAGCATACTGACTGCCTGCTGTTGCTGCTGCTGCCTGCTGCTGTTGCTGCTGCTGCCTGCTGCTGTTTGGCGGTGCTGTGTTGCATAACGACCACCATATCTGCTGCTCTGCCTTCTAAGGCTGTTCATTGTCCTGTTGTTCAGGTGCGGCGCGTGCAAGGGATGATCAACCACGAGCTCGCTGCAGCGCTGGGGCTCGCAAGATGATCTCGCTCGCAG